TGGGGTATTTTCACATGTCCGTGTATTGTCGGGGTGCCGCACTAAAGGCCATCACGGGCCACCAGTGGCACGCGCGTGTCTTGCAATGAAGAACGCTGCCCTAGAGCAGCAGTCCCCAACCTTTTCGGCACCAGGGACCGGTTTTGTGGAAGACAATTTTTTGACAGACCGGGGGGGGGGGGGGGGGTTCATCATTGGGTCTTTCCCCCTTTTCAAAGAAGCTCTCTGGCGACGTTTTTGACTCTTTGTGGCTACTAGGGGTTAGAGCTTGTGGGCTTAACAAAACCGTGACTGAGACAAGTGCGCAGTGCGGGAAAGAGGCGTGGACGGAAGCGGTCAATAAAACAATGGGGGCGGGCCACACACGGACTCACCGCTCACCTTCTGCTGCTGTGCAGCCCAGTTCCTAACAGGCCATGGACCTGTACCGGTCCGCGGCCTGGGGGTTGGGGACCCCTGCCCTAGAGGATATTCGGTTTCATCTTCCACACCAGCCACATATCCTGGAAGAGTTACGAAAAGCAAAGCCGTAATTCAATCACAGCAATGTCCTGAATTGTCAGGCATGGGTCGAATGTCAACGTGTCCCCATGCTCACGTGACTGGAGAAACAACCTCGACTGTGAGATCGGTCGCTCTAGCCGCAGTGCCACCCGGCAACATTTGCGCCAGTATCGTAGAGCTTCCTCTTATCCGTTTACCCAATCGCCCGTGATTCCTAATCATCCGTGGGAGACATAGCGTCCACGACAACTCCAATTACCAACGGACATATTCTTCCGATTATCTGCGATGCTTTCGTTAAGTGGAGCACGTAACACGCATTAGCCCGCGGATGATGCGATCCGCGATAGAGGTTCCCTGCATCCCAGCCACATCGTCAGTGTCATTGCATCATAACATACATTGCATCATAACATACATTGCATCATAACATACATTGCATCATAACATACATTGCATCATAACATACATTGCATCATAACATACATTGCATCATAACATACATTGCATCATAACATACATTGCATCATAACATACATTGCATCATAACATACATTGCATCATAACATACATTGCATCATAACATACATTGCATCATAACATACATTGCATCATAACATACAAAAGCAATACACAGGGAACCCTCGGTTTAACGGACTCATAGGGTGGAAGGGGTGTCTGTAGAATCCGATTGTCCGTGAATGGCCAAATGACGTGTTTTGAGCACTAAATCACACCCTACCACATGCAAACTACTTCCTGTTAATATGGGAACCTTTCTTGCCAGGATCAAAATATAACAATGGGGTTCACCCTTTCCGTGCTAAGATGTTAAAACACCAAACAGAAACCTTTTGCAAGGAATCCTGTCTGCATTAACCCACAATACTTGTGGTGAACATGCAAAGAAAAAAACATGCTCTGAAAGATACATGCATTGTCTTTGAAACTGATTGCGCCACACCAGAGGCAGCTTTCTTGAGAGCCTAGTCTCAAACAGTGTTAGACCAGCTTATTTTCCACTTTTATTTCTCCTATTTTGACCTATTTTAAACAAAAAAAACACGTGTAATGTAATACATACCTGTGAGAAGATGCGAATATTAACCGGACTGATTTCCACATTACTGAACTTAGTCCGTTGTTTGGGGCAAAGGCCGTTGTTGTTGTTTTCCGATCTTTGGAGAAAACTCTGATTCAGTAGATTGTGTCTGTTGAATCTGAGATCCTTGAATGGGGGTCCGTTAACCCGAGGGTGTACTGTCCACAGATCTACTCGTTAGTGGCAGCACATTTTGGGCTTTTTACTTTTCCTGTACTGGACTACTCCTGAAATATAATACAACGATAATATCCTTGAGTACTCAAAGAATATGGGTATTCTTTGGAGGAAATCTTATCCAGTAGCTGGAATAATTTCCATTCCTAACCTTCATATTCAAAACTATGAAAATCTGATGTTGAGAATTATAATCTTAACAGCATATAAATGGCCCAAAGGAAAAGCATAATTACGTGCAGGAAAGTTTAATGAATGGGCGTTAAAGATTTAGCTCCCAATTTTTTTCTTGGGAGGGGGGGGGGTGGGTCTAAAATGTACAATGTTAGCTGTCGTTTCTATTTTATATAGATGTGTCATATATGGAGTCTGCATCCTTCAAAACGTTGCGGTGAATATGTTCATCGGCCTACGTCCAAATCCCAAAACTGCTTAACCGTTCGTACTTCTAAGTGTGCACTCGGCTCTATATCTGCCAAGTGTCGGCTTACTTCGCTCTTCGAGAACATCATTGGATTTATGTAACTCAGTCGCTCAGTTGCCTCGTGACTGACCCTATCTTTGCGACATGTCCTCATATACACACGCAAGTTTTATTGCCAAAAGAGAGAATTCATCTTTATGTTCTCTCTCACCTGTTTAAGTAGAGGACATTGGCAGAAAGTTAAAGCGAAGTAGATCATGAAAAGCTCGGACCTCAGAGCAGATGAATCTGTGGTGGGTACGGCGTGAACACAACGGCAAAATGAACTCATTAAGCAAACGGTAACGGCGAGCATCTACGTACAGAACAAAATAAGCAAATTACATTTATTCAAACACCACCTTTGTACACTTGAACGCACGTTAATGAATGCATCTGTCACCCGACTCGGAGAAAAAACATTTAATGATTTCTGCAACATCGAGAATTATGAATGTAGAAAAAATATAGGCAGCAGCCCGAAGCTACAGCATAATATTATACAGTAATGTTTCATTAATGGGCATTTGCAGTTAGAGGTAATGAAGAGGAAATCTTATCCAGCAGCTGCTCTTTTTTTATTAAAACAATAACTCATGTTTGCTGAGCTTCAAAACGTTATCGCAAAAATAGATTCACACGCAGGCGAAGATAGAGGCGGCTGGGGGAGCGGTGGCACGGTGGTTCGCTCACTGTGGCCACCAACCTGAGTTGGATTTGCCATCGCGAGCTCACTGAAGTGGCGAGTGGTGTGTGAACCAGCAACTCGGCTCCCTCCCTGTTAATTATCATCCTACACTAGCACCCTTCTCATCCCATAGCCACCAGGACCTGGGAAGGCTTCCTCCAACCGGCAGTGTGTTAATAAAGAACCGTGAATCATCACTCTTAACATTATACTCAGATAAAGAACCCCTGTGTGTATTCTAGATTTGAAGCTTTCGTGACTGCAAGGATTCATGCTCTTTGTTTTTTCGGTAAAAGTGTATTAATTGTTTTACCTACGTGACTTTACCGAAAAAACCAAAGAGTATGAACCCCTGTGTGATTGCGTAGGTGAAGAAACATGAAACAAGGTGAGGGAAAGTCAGAGGTGGGGAGGGTGATAATCGCTGGGGGTTCTACGATGCATAGAACATTTTTTATTGATACTGTGGTCCAATACAATTTAAATGTTTTAATCGCTGTACTATTAATGCTTAGCTGGATACCCGTGAAAGTATCGGGGTTTTACTATTGTTGCGGTGTGGTACTCTCATTGTTTAAAGACTGAACGGTAGCGATGTCATGATTTCCCCCTCCCCACCATCCACCCATCATTTACATTAATTCTAAGCAGGTCAGAATCATAACATGTATTTATACTGGAGGAATCCGAGGAGCTACACAGCTCTTTTTCACAGATATCCAGCCAGGGTGGGTCAGAAAGTTACAACAACAATACAAAAACAACACGATAGGAGTGCAAAGTATAGTAAAGCTAAGCAAATCACGTACACATACAACTTATAATGCCCACTGAGCTATTAGTTTATTTTTCAGAAGCAACCTGGCCACAATTTATAGCTCAACCAAGTCGTTTATCTTGTGGAAATGTATAGCAGCCAAATAATCTGTACATATATGTCAACCCATGTCTATTTATTGCTTCAAATGCTGGTGATTTCCGAGCGTGGGTGTTGGAATAGGGCAGACATGATGTCTAGTTCACCTTGAACGGTGGCAATTCAGACCTTGCCATGGACATTTGTAGCGTTGGTCAGCGCGGCTTGTTGAGTTTCGATGGGTCTGTACCTCGTGTGTGTGTGTGTGTGCCTAGCGGCATAACTAGTGGGTACGACGTGGACGTAGTGGACTGCTCACAGTGCTCTGGGAACTACTCGGCGACTGATCTGAGTTCGATTCCTCGCCACGGCTCACGTCATTCGTCCATTCATCACGCACGGTCAGCGGAGGACCGTTGTGCCAAACTCGTGTTCTCTTGCGACAGCATTCGCATAAACTGCTCTTGCTGCCATACACCGGCGTCTCGAGTGATTTGTTTGAGCGACTAACATCTGTGGCGAGTAATACTTGAAGGGATGGTCCTAGGCCTTCCCTAGGTCGACTCAGCCTCGCATGATCATCTTGCAAAGAAGACGTTTTGCTTGGGGGCTATTGATGAGGTGTCGGACGCTCATCCCTGGCACTACTTTTTCAAGTTTGTAAGTGCCACGACGGACGAACGAAAAACATATTTCTATACCTTAATAGTAGTCGCATGATGATGACGACGACGATGATAATTAATAGCAGTTCAAATTTACTTGAGCCTGGGCACCACCGCCAATGCAAGATTTGTGAGCAGCAAGGTGGCGATTGGGAGGTGCGGTGGCATCAAAGACATAGGTCACGGTGACCTCTCTAATTGCACTCGTGTCACCGTGGGGTCCCGTTGCCTATGGTGGTCGTGTCACCGTATGACCGTGTCGCTGCGCCATCATGTCAATATGCGGTCGCGCCACTGGCAAGTTTGCTACCGTTTTGATCGTGTCACCGCGTGGTTGCGTCCCTGCCGAGTCGTGGCACGGTCTGGTCATGCAATTCGTGCTGTCATGTTACTGTGCGGTCCCGTTGCTTTGTTTTCGCGTTGCCGTGTGGTCATTTCACTGTATTGAGATTTTGCCGTGTGGTCGCATTGCCGTGTGGTCATGTCACTGTGTGGACTTGTGGTCGCGTCGCCATGCGGTTGGTTGACCTTGACGGCGGCTGCAGGTGGTTTGAGCGGGCGAGCATGCTCGTCATTCTGCTCAACTGTGCCACCCTGGGCATGTTCCAGCCCTGCGCCGAGGTGGAGTGCCACTCGCAGCGCTGCCAGGTGCTGCAGGTAGGACTCTCGCTGGCACGACACGGCGCCACGTGCCGACGACGGCGACAAATACTGCACACGACAGAATGATTATCATGATGGTAATGAAGACTGATCACTACATGATGACAATGATCGCGCTAACCTCCGATCGGTACAGTTGGCTACGTACGGTGCAAAAGACGTTCTACGTACATATTAACCACGACGGTAATAATGGTGAAATGCTGTGTATAAAAGTATGATGCTGCAGAATGATTATGACAACAGACATAATGATGATGATGGATGCTGCAGGCTGGCTACAGCACCACCAGTAAGGATTACGATGCTTCACAAGAATCTCTACATGACTTATGGTGTTTGATGGATCGTGCTTAACGCTATCGACAATGATTATTACGATGACATTGACGCAGTATAATCAACACAATTATAATGATAATTAATAATTGCACAGCTTGGATATAGAATGATCATTACAGTGGTGATGATGATGATGAGAGTGAGCTGAGCACCACTGATATTGAGATGTCCGTGTGATGAACGGGAGTGGAGTAAGTGAAGGGGTTGCCAAGTTGGAGTTATTTATTCCTATCATTAGCTGTGAACCCACTCGCGGGTTTACAGCTTATTAAATTTAGTTCTGAGTAAAGTGAAATGCTCTAGGGAGCTTTGGATGGCAGTCAACTCCATTGGCAGCCCTGAGCCAGAAGTGTCAATTCCACATTCCCATGGCAAGGGCGAGCCCACCTCTGCACGAACCACTGTTGGATTCCATAACAGTGGTTCTAAATCTTGACTTAAAGCTTTTGTGACTGCAGGAATTTATATTCTTTGGGTCTTTCGGTAGATTCACATACGTAGGTTAAAAAATGACTAAATAAAATTAAACAAAAACTACGTTTCGATCGCAACACAAGCAATCCGTCATCAGGTGGAATAAGTAATATTTTGAAAGACTTTTTTTTAAACACGCTTTAATGTAATGTACCCTACTAGTAATGGAATAACTCCACGACTCCAGGAAGTAGGCCCCAAAGCTTGCCATAACGTAATGGACCGTGGTGGTTTACAGCCAACGTCAGTTGAGCGTGGACAATTAAACCCATGCCGAAACATAACATATACAAAAGAATGTTTAAAAATATAGTATTGTCATCAGTATCATATAAGCATACCAAGTTTGCAGTCGATACCACATTGGGAAGTGGGTAAACATTGAGTTACAAGATTTGAGGATACAACAACAGACACAGTGAGATAATAAATAGCGTGTAATAATAATTAAAAAGGGATGGAGGCCACTAAAGGCGAGCTGTTTCTAAAGGTCAATAACCCGTAAAAACAAAGTTTTTCACTATAAATCCTTTATATGCGTGGCATCGGTTCGAGTTTTGAGGCCCCGTGAGGATTGATGGGCTGGGTCAAGTCCTGATCGGGGTTTTAACTTGTGACCTTTCATTGCCAGTCGAGCCCTCTGATTGGGAAATGCCGAGCATTACTTTAAACAATCCAGTACTCATCTGAGCCAGCTATGGTCCACCCCCACCCTTCAGCAACCAGCACAGATCGGCGTGGTGAAGTATGGTTAAACAACCTCCAGTGACCGTCACTTTGTGTGCGTAGCCCCTCTTTCTAGAGTTTGACAAACGTCTGAGCGTTATTTATAATTATTATTGTGGATGTGTAATCATTGCTCCGAATATTATCGTTTCTGTACATGTGTCAATCTCAAGCCGTTGTTGGCACAGGGTACATTTCTACAAAGTCGTCCATCTCCTAATACTGATTACATCCATAAGCAGCACAACGTAATTACTCAGGCGTCATGCACAGTAATGTTACGCAATATAATTTTTTTTATTGACCTCAAGTAATTTAACCTTGAAAATATCGGCACTCCGCTTTAATTGTTGGCTCTGCTATTTGAGCATCCTTCATGCGTTTTGGCTGCTCGCTTTACGCTCGTTAACGCAAACTGCTGACAACATTGTTCATCCCTTTGAAGAGTTTTTTTTTTGGAGCATTGTCAAATTATTAAAAGTAAAAGTCATTAAAAAAAGGCAGCCAAGACTTGCCAAGTAACATTCGTCTCATCGAACACTGAAATGAAAAGTACAGTAATAACACTGGCTTACCAGCAACTGCCTTCAGCAATTAGTGGGCCTAATTACAGCGAATGCGTTCGCAGGGCTGGGTTTTGGTGGACTACTGTACGTAAGCAACTTCGGAATGACAATTGAGGTCTACTTATCGTTAAAATACGGGTGCTCGAGGCAAGGTGCAATGCCTCCACGTGACCGAGCACATCAGAGAGCTGGACTTTAACAAAGCAACGACAAAAGACGCCTCCGCCCTGCGACCACAGATGCAGAGGTGGCCGCGCTCGGGGAAATCGCGTGGCAGGTCTCGGGGGCTGGGGGGATGGGGTACGAAGTTTGGAAACTTGGCAAAGATCGTGGCGTGAGGGCGTTCCCGATGCAACCAGAGCGAGGACGCTGCCGCTGTCTCTGTGATGGCTGGTGGGACTCGTGTGGAGAGGGGTGGGGGCAGCGTTAGTGAGACGGACCACGGAGGTCAGTGACCATGTGCAAAATCCACCAACAGCGACAACGACGATTAGATGCTTCGCAGGCGTAGGGGGTTACGTAGCATGTGTCATTACGTGTGTCGATAAGCCAAGGTGCTTCCAAGTTTTTTGAAGGATGTGATAACGGTGTAATGAGGGGGAGAGGTAATGGGAGGCCGTGTGAGAGCTCCGGACCGTGGAGGTCAAGCGTTGACTCTTCGTCATCAGCAGCAGCATCTATCATAAGGAAGGGAGTGTTGGGCGAGGTGAGGTGTAGTGTTATCAACTACAGTCGCTATAATGCCCCCTTGACTCCTGAACGAGTTAAGCGAGCATCCATCCACAATATGTCAGCGTTGTCAGCATTCCAGTAAATCTGACTTGGGCGTCATTTGCATATTTAGTAGACATTTTTTACGGCATTGCACAATTTTTTTCAGATGCCGTGCATTTCCATGCTGATTGCTCCGCAGGACATCAGCGAAAACATGGGGTGTTTCATCCGTCAGGGATTTTCCTATTTAAATGTTTTACCAAATGAATAAAACATGGGTTTTCGTGTTTGCCTCCCTTGCAGGCCTTTGATGATTTCATCTTCGCGTTCTTTGCGGCGGAGATGCTGGTGAAGATGGTCGCCCTGGGCGTGTTCGGGAAGAAGTGCTACATGGGCGACGCGTGGAACCGCCTCGACTTCTTCATCGTGGCCTCTGGGTCAGTTCCCTGTTGCATTTGTTGCTGGTAATTTGTAAACGAACACACAAAGGGTTCGCCTTCTACGAGACACTGCGGGCCGGTGCGGTGGAACTTGTGGATGGCGCACGGTGCCTGCGAAACCCCCGGTGAACCCGAGTTTGATCACTGAAGATCAGTAGGCGGCGACGTCAGTGGACCAAGTGATTCCGTAGTTGAATGGCGGAGGGCTGTAGTGAGTGAATCTGCAACTGCTCCGCCCCTTCCCCCCTAAAAAAACCCCAATGACAACAAATATTGACTGAATGCGATTCTTTTTTCAAATTTCTCATCATAATAATAATCTCAAGTGTCAATGCACTTACATACAAAAGCACTGCACTCAGGCAAAGAGTTAATCACATTGAAATTCCTCTTGCCACCGTTTTGTAAAGTGTCTGTTTTGGCAAATTAAAATGAGGCAGGGTATCTGCAGAGTGGCGTTCGCTGGGGTAGATAGCGGCAATTCCACGCCACTTATGCCTGCCTCGAAACAACAAAATAATAATCAATGCTGATTTCCGCACCGTTGTCAGTCCAATACAGGGAGGAGGCCTCCCCCAGGGCATCTCGGCCATGGAGTGTTTGGCACGCTGATCAGTGCAAGGTTGATGGTCAGTTCAGGGATGCCTGAACCGGCTCGGATATCATTTGTCGCCGACGCTACCCATGGCTGCGAATTTAACTCAACTGGCCGCATTCATAGCGCAGTGTGTGAACAACTGTGACATCGCTCCTCCACAGGGTATTGTGTTATTGATATTATTATTACATTGGATGGCACTCATTTCCTTTGGCTGAACTGAACATCAGACGGTGATGCTGGGAGCCATTAATTCCATGTTGGTGTCCCGTTGGTATTCAGCTGACTGGGTGGTGCCATCATTGCTTATTGTGCGTTAATATCTTGGTCAGGGCTGACTAAACTCATCATCCACTTGAGGTTCAAAAAATGAATGCCTCTATATGGGTAAACAACAGCGGTTAATCTATACAGGGACTCCTCCTCTTACGAACAATCGACTTTTGAACTTTCAGAGATACGAACAAACCTGTCCGTATGTCCAGTTGTCCCAGAGTCGTAAGTTCAACCGCCGCACAAGCAGATGGCGGTGGTGGCATCTACATCTGCAGAACGTGAAGAACCAGTGGCATGTACATCTACAGGAGATTATACAACTGTAAAGCCATTCCCCGTGTTTAGCGTACATGCCGTATAACACGTTTGTAATCGACAAGAGTAAAGTTGGACTTACGAACAAATCGACTTACGAACAGACCTATGGAACCTAACTCGTCCGTCAGTCGAGGAGTCCCTGTATATAAATTGGCACCTGCCACGTCAATGTGGAAGTTTCCGCACTGGCTCACAGGTCGCTGGGTTCTTAGTGTGGTGCGCCGAAACCTCTGCGCCAACATTCCACACCGCTGACTTTTTGCAGACAAGCGTGGTGCTGCTGTGTTCACGAGCACAGTTACCAAAGAGTTTAACACAACAAGACTGTGCGGTCTTAAAGGAGAAATATGAAATAGGGGACGGATTAGGCATGTTCGTGAAGGGGCAACCGGGTCCAGGGCTGGATCAGATTCAACTTGCCACTTGTGCTCACTGCACCCGGGTATCAAACTCGGGTCACCGGGTTGAGAGCACGGTGCATTAGCTACAAACATATCGAATTAATGAAAACCTATTTTCAGTCTTTTCCTCCCTGCGGCTGATGCTGATGCAAGTGGTGGTATCGCTGTGACGATGCCTCCTCCTTCGTATTTGTGAATCGTGCACCGAGTCGATAGTACCCGGTCCACGGTTCTGTTCTGGGTGGTGAGCACGGTCGCCGCACACTGCCGGAGAGAGTTTTTAATTGCCCATTTGTGCAACCGCATCAGCCGTGGTTGGTGCAGCGGATGCGGTTGAAGGTTGCTGATGAGGAATCCAGGGAGAGATCTGCTGTATTCGCGTTTGTACGTTCACTGAATAAATGTCGAAAAACGAAAGAGAGCAGGGTCTCCATTGGCTGCTGAATGCAAGCTCACGGATTTCATCGTTGTTGAGAATCAGAATATTTATTTAGACTGCAGGAATCTGATGAGCTATGAAGCTCTTTTTCACAGATGTCCAGTAGCTCCACGATGCCTGCTGGCAGTGACTTACGCTGACGCACTGTCCCAGTTAAATGTTCTCAAAGACTATGAATAAATAAAAAATTCCGGGGGAATACGTGTACGAGCAGACGACACTGAACGTTTCTGTGCACAGCTTAATTAGTGTGCACAAATAGGCCGTTTCCTTTTTTCTTCTCTCCAAAATTTTCAGAAAGCCTTTCAGGCAATTAAATACAATTTAAATTATTATGAATGTTTGCGCATCTTTGACTGGCTTAACGGTGGCTGACCCTTTGAGATTTCTTATGAAATACGAATTGAAAGCAATGTATGTATGTCAAATAAAAAAAATCCCAGTGCCTTAGAGGACAACGTGATATGCAACCATAAGTCGATTCATCCCCATACCTCTGCTTTCTTTGCTCTGAAGTAGGGCCTACAGTCCGAAACTTCAGCCTGTCGTAGTTAGGAAGCCACTGGTGCTATTAGAAACCCACTGGAGTTATGCACTTTTAAATCATCTCGATTGAAAACTAATTTCTTTAGAACTGCTTTTTGTGTTTGGTGTTGTTGTCCTTCCCTCGCACCTCCGATTAGCGCTGTGGGTTACGTACGGTGCGAAAGAAGTTCAACATACACACCGAGGAAGTGTTAATCGCAAACACCGTGTTTTCGTTTTGTGCTGATGCACCGCTCTCAATGCAGTTCCTCAATGTTCGCATTAATTTTGGTCACATATAACAATTTCCGTTTCATCTTCGAGTAAATTTGTGCTGCGCCCGCTCGCGCCTGCCTGAAATTCTGTCGGCATGCGTGCTCTGCGAAGCTCGCGGGACGAGATGGCATGGGACAAATTCTGATAGGATCGGACAGGATGGGATGCTAATTTTGTTTCGGTGTCAGTCTCTGGTGTACAGCAACTTGGTTGTTGTTAATGCGGTGGGGAGAAAGGTGTTTGTTGTGTCTGTGCTTGTACGGAAATTTCCCTCGCAGTCTATGATGTTTATGGTGTGTGTGTTTGTGTGCACCTAACCTGACACGAGTGCTGTGTTTGTCCGCAAGCTGAAGTGAGCTTCATGAAGCGACGCCACCTTATCGATGTTTGTCATCGGGTTTTCACGAAATCGGAGCTGCGAATCAATTGTGTTTCATCATCACTCAGCTCTGTGTGGCTCACACCACACACAGGTTTCATTATAAGTGTATATAAATGATGCCAGAATGTTTAACTTTTAATTGCATATTGACTGTTATATATGTAGTTACGATGTAATTATTACTGTTATATATGTAAGTGTGTATGTTATCCACCATTGTTAAAAAAACGATTCGATTTGAGATCGAATCATTGCATTTTTTTTTAATTAACCCAAAACAATTCGTCAGTTACACTTTTTTAATACACTGTGATCTATCGTATAACGCCTCCACTAATTACAACGTTAGTTTTTCACACACGAGTGTACATCACTACACTATCACACATCGAGGCCTACGTCGAGGCTTACATCGAGGCCTACTTCGAGGCCTACGTCGGGGCCTACGTCGGGGCTTACATCGAGGCCTACGTCGGGGCCTACGTCGAGGCCTACGTCGAGGCCTACATAGAGGCTTACATCGAGGCCTACTTCGAGGCCTACGTCGGGGCCTACGTGGAGGCCTACATAGAGGCCTACGTTGAGGCCTACTTTGGGGCCCACGGGGGCCTACATAGAGGCCTACGTCGGGGCCTACGTCGGGGCCTACTTCGAGGCCTACGTCGGGGCCCACGTGGGGGCCCACGTGGGGGCCTACGTCGAGGCCTACATAGAGGCTTACATCGAGGCCTACTTCGAGGCCTACGTCGGGGCCTACGTCGAGGCCTACGTGGAGGCCTACATAGAGGCCTACGTCGAGGCCTACGTCGGGGCCCACGGGGGCCTACATAGAGGCCTACGTCGGGGCCTACTTCGAGGCCTACGTCGGGGCCCACGTGGGGGCCTACGTGGGGGCCTACGTCGAGGCCTACGTGGAGGGCGCTCGTAAATGGAAGCAGAACAATGAAGCTGATGGGCCAAACATCTCGTCTCTCCACGTCCACATCACGCAACTATTCAGCCTCGGCGCCTCCAGGCCGCACGGCCGCTGCTGCTCTGCTGTAGTACACACAGCTGCGGCTGCTTCGTGTATGACTCCTGCAACTGCAGTTGGGTCGGCTGCAGCTGCTACAGCAGCTACAACAACAACAACAGCAGCTACAACAACAACAACAGCAGCTGCAACAACAGCAGCTGCAGCAACAGCAGCAGCTGCAGCAACAGCAGCAGCTGCAGCAACAGCAGCAGCAGCAGCAACAACAGCAGCAGCAGCTGCAGCAACAACAGCAGCTGCAGCAACAACAGCAGCAGCAGCTGCAGCAACAACAGCAGCTGCTGCAGCAGCAACAACAGCAGCAGCTACAACAACAACAACAGCAGCTGCAACAACAGCAGCAGCAGCTGCAGCAACAACAGCAGCTGCAGCAACAACAGCAGCAGCTGCAGCAACAACAGCAGCAGCTGCAGCAGCAACAGCAGCAGCAGCTGCAGCAACAACAGCAGCAGCTGCAGAAACAACAGCAGCTGCAGCAACAACAGCAGCAGCTGCAGCAACAGCAGCAGCTGCAGCAGCAACAGCAGCAGCTGCAGCAACAGCAGCAGCTGCAGCAACAACAGCAGCAGCTGCAGCAACAACAGCAGCTGCAGCAACAACAGCAGCGGCAGCAGCAGCAACAGCAGCAGCTGCAGCAGCAACAGCAGCAGCTGCAGCAACAACAGCAGCAGCTGCAGCAGCAACAGCAGCAGCTGCAGCAGCAACAGCAGCAGCTGCAGCAACAGCAACAACAGCAGCAGCTGCAACAACAGCAGCAGCTGCAGCAACAACAGCAGCTGCAGCAGCAGCTGCAGCAACAGCAGCAGCTGCAGCAACAGCAGCAGCTGCAGCAACAACAGCAGCAGCTGCAGCAACAACAGCAGCAGCTGCAGCAACAACAGCAGCAGCTGCAGCAACAGCAGCAGCTGCAGCAACAACAGCAGCAGCAACAACAGCAGCAGCTGCAGCAACAACAGCAGCAGCTGCAGCAACAACAGCAGCAGCTGCAGCAACAACAGCAGCAGCTGCAGCAACAACAGCAGCAGCTGCAGCAGCAACAGCAGCAGCTGCAACAACAACAGCAGCAGCAGCTGCAGCAACAACAGCAGCTGCAACAACAACAGCAGCTGCAACAACAACAGCAGCAAGATGGCGGCGGCGTGTGCGGCCACGTGTGCGTTGTGCTGCATGGGTGTGGGCTGTGCGTGAGAGTGGGTGAGGGTGAGCTGCGTGTGAGTGAGCTGTGTGTGTGTTTAAATTTAGTGTTTTAAAGATGTCAATTCACCTGCTGTGTATCTTACTACTGTCCCTCCCGGCCATATCTAGTGCCACACTCAACTCTACAAATGGCTACCCGCGTTACTTCGCGTCAATACTTATTGCTAAATTTGCAACTACACCTGCTAATGAAACAACTTATAGACACTTCTACACTCCATCATTATATCCTTTTAAACCCTATCTTTGTCCCATTACTTCACCAGCACTCCTTCCAAACTTCATTCTGCTCTTAAAAATAACACCATCTGCGAGCTGCTGCTATTCGTCCAAGGTTCGTCGCTCTTCATCCTTTCACAGAAAATACCTGTGCAAACTATTAATTCTACTTTTCTTATTTCTGGGTGGTATTGAGCTTCATCCTGGACCAAATGTAAAGAACTCATATAATTCTGTAGATTTTTCTGGCAGAAAAGGTGTTGGTGTTCTACATGTCAACATCAGAGGGCTTTTGATTAAATTAAGTCAACTAAAACTAGAAGTAGCAAATCTTGACCCGGACATATTTTGCCTAACAGAAACATTTCTCACTCCTGCCGTCAATGACTTGCAGATTACGATTGACAACTACAATATTTTCCGGCTTGACCGAGGATCTAAAGGAGGTGGAATTGCCATCTATGTTCGTAATACTATTGCATGTTCACCAGCTCACTCCTTATTGGTAGTGTGCTGCTATAGACCGCCTAGTGGGAAGGATGTTGAAGCTGCATCTGCACTGAGAGAGCTTCTTGGGGGCCTCCCTAAAGGTGAAATAGTTTTAGTGGGTGATCTAAATTGGAATTGGCTAAACCCGCCGGCCGTGGCCACAAATTTTGCAGATGAATTTAACCTGTTTCAATTAATAAATGTCCCCACAAGACCCAACCTAAAAAATCCGGGACAGTCATCTCTGCTTGACGTCCTATTGACAAATGCCCCTCACAATTTCGCACTGACTGGTGTTCTAGGTAATAACCTTAGTGATCACTCCTTCATTTTTGGGGTGAGATCATCAGCCAGACCCAAAGCCCCCCCTAAATTGGTTGAGAAGCACTCCATGAGACACTTCAGCACTCAGGCATTTACTAATGATGTGCTTCACTCGGATATTGACAAGGTCTGTGATATTCCAAACCTGACTACGGCTTGGGAGACCTTCAGGTACACGTTTCTCCAAATTCTTAACAAACATGCTCCGTTGGTTAAATTTAAAACTAAAGGCAACCGTCCACCATGGTTTGATCCTGTGATTACAAAGCTCATGAAAACTAGGGACAAGGCTTGGGCATGTGCTCAGAAAAGTAATTTGGTCAATGACTGGCTAGAATACAGGATTTTAAGGAATAGATGCGTCAAAAAAATACGGCATGCAAAAAATAACTACTTCTCTTCCACTCTCCTTGAATCTCATGGAAATGCCAGGATTTTCTGGAAAACAATCAAATGTATCGAAAAGGCATCCAAAACAGATCATCTGCCCGTTCAGCTTAACCGAAATGGGGAATATTTTTCAGATCCCCAAAAAATAGTTGACAATTTTAACCTTCATTTTTCTGAAGCTGGTACCCTATTTGATAATGTATTGGGAGTCACCCCTGCTCATGCAAATTCCTACACTCCTGTCCAAACATTAAGCGAATTTAGTTTTCAGCCAATCCACGAAAGTAATGTTCTGAAACAACTGTCCTACCTCAAAGGGTCCTCCTCTACCGGAGCAGATAGTATTCCCGTCTTTGCTCTACTAACTGTTGGTCATCTAATATACAAACCTATAGCCCATATTTTCAACCTGTCCATCAAAGAAGCATCAGTTCCTCTAGAATGGAAACATTCCTATGTTCGTCCACTTCACAAAGGGGGCCCTAAAGATGATCCAAATAACTACCGACCTATCTCAATTTTGTCCCCGTTGATGAAAATTTTTGAAAAATTATTGACCTACCAAATTAGCAGTTTCCTGTCCGCCAACAATCTATTACATCTAAAACAATCTGGGTTCCGAAAAAAATACAGCACCACATCTGCTGCATTAGACTCTCTGAATCACATTTACAGTAGCCTTGATAATAAGCAGTACTGCGCCTGTCTTTTTCTTGACTTGTCCAAAGCTTTTGATACAGTAGACCACAACATCCTGCTTAGTAAAATAAGTTGCCTCGGTTTTTCCGAAAACACAGTAAAATGGTTAAAAAATTACCTCTTTTCTCGCACCCAAACTGTATTCACAGATGGTTGGAGGTCAAACAGTGTTAAGATAACAAAAGGGGTTCCACAGGGTTCCATTCTCGGCCCCCTCTTGTTCTCTCTTTATGTAAATGACTTGGGCACTGAACTGGATTATTCCAGGGTAAATCTTTTTGCAGATGACACGGTACTAATTACTGCTGGCCGCTCTCCGGATGACGTGATTGCTAAGCTCCAGAGTGATTTCAACAAACTACAACATCAGCTAGTTGCTCTTAAACTAGTCCTAAATCCTGCCAAAACCAAGGTGCTATGCTTCTCACCAGGACTAAAGCGGGAAGTTATTTTTCCCCAATTACATACCTTAAATAATGATCAAATAGAGCAAGTCAAGATCTATAAGTATCTTGGGGTCATCCTGGATTCAAAACTGAATTTTGAAGATCACATTGATTATATTGGGAAAAAGACAAAAATTAAAATTGGTTTTCTATATCGACACAAGCACTGCTTCCCTCCTATGTTCCGTTTGGAATTGATTAAAGCTACCGTACTGCCTCTACTTGATTACTGTGACATTGTGTATAAATCAGCCCCAAGTACTGTACTGAAGAAGCTTGACTCAATGTATCACTCGGCCTTAAGATTTGCATTGAACTGCCCATATAGGACTCACCACTGTGATCTCTACATTGGGTCAAACTTAACATCTCTGAATGTTCGACGGCTTGTGCACCAGATCTTATTTATTCATGATGTACTTGCAAAAAAATCTGCAGATTACCTGCTGGATCTCGTCTCTGTTTCAAAGAACAAATTTGACCTAAGGTCTACACTCATTTACCAGCTTAATATTCCCTATTGCCGTACATATACTGGAGGAAGGGCCTTTGCTATTGATGCCCCCAGGGTCTGGAATGCTGTTGCAAATAAATTGAAACTTGAGTCACTACCTATGAGATCTTCACTCAAAACTGCTTTAGAGGAGTTGTACACCCCTAGCTGCCAGTGCTATTCAGTGACCTAAAATAAAATGTTTCGCTCCGGATGATCGCTACAAAGTATGACCTGTGTTTTGATTTAGTGTGCTGATCTTAAAGGTGCATTGAAAAATTACAATACTCCGATTGATGCTCCTGCTGTTGTGGAGTGACTCATGCAGCCAGCTATGGCTGCAGGGTTTTGGTAGTACATGTTGTTTATGCCATTTATTGTGAAAATTCCGTCAGTTCCTATGATTGCTTTTTCATTGCCTTCATGGCTTTATTTTGGTGATTTCGAAAAGTGTATTGGTTTAGCCATGTTTGTGTTGTTGTAGTACAGAGTTAGACTGATGGCCTTAATCTAAGTTGTCTTGTGGTTGTTGTTGTTGTTTGACTTGCATCCCACTGGCATTTTTGCACACAGCGTTGGTGTACGGTGTTTTTTCTGCAATATTTTTGCTGTCTTTTCTTGGATTTTCTGTTTGCACTTAGTCACATATTCACTTTAAGATGTTTTTTTTGTTCATGTTTTTGTTTTTTGTTTGTTGCGGTTGCACCCGATTCAAGAGCTGAATGGCTCACAGGGCTATACCTAATAAATGAACTTGAACTTGAACTTAGTGGTGAATGGTGGCCGTCGTTGTTGTTGTTGTGAGAAATGGTGGTAAATTGGTTAGCATAAGGCACTACAGACCCGGCCGCCTCGTCAATTTCCTGCATACGGTCAGTATCAGTGGTGAATATCTGAATGAGCCCTGGACCTCCCCGTAGTAAACTCAACCTTAATTGAGTACCTAGTGCGATTTATAAACATCAGCCCTGGGGAGAGAAAAGGATGTGGTTCTAACCACCCACCCCCTGGTTTGCCGTGCTCTCTCACAGCCCTTTCTCCAACAGTCTATTAAAGGCTCTATGGGTGATCTTTGTCTTCTTGTATGTGTGTGTACAGCATGCTGGAGTACTCTCTCGCCATGGAGAGCGTCAGTCTCTCCTCCATCCGCACCGTCCGGGTACTCCGGCCACTGCGGGCAATCAACCGGGTCCCCAGTGAGTATCCCCCGCTCCGTCTCGCGATGTCGTCAACGTCTCGCGATGTCGTCAACGTTGTGCCGCTGCGTCGGTCCTCGTGGTCGTGCCGTGCAGCTCTCCGATTGTGTGTGTTTTTTTTCTTTCGAGTCGTGTTACCTTCCTTCAGAAGCTCCCAGCACGTGGAGCCAAACGTCGGACACCGTGCCGAACAGCACGCGGCACAGCCATAAATCACATCGGAGAGCTGCGTGGCTATTTTGTCGGAAAACCCCTATTATTATTATTTAGTCGTTGGCGTCTGGGTGTGTGCGCCCTCTCCTCTCTTCACAGCCCATTGCCCCTCGCACAGCCGTTGCTTCCCGTCGGTTACCCCACATGATCGCACCTGTACGTTATGACGTTGATTCAAGTCGAATCTTTATCACGTATTGCGGGTCTGAGTTGTGTAATGCCATCCAACTCTCCAAAACGCCTTGGAAGAGCTAGGAACACCTGCACGCCACTCCCACCACATTGCGACCTTACCACTCGACTGACCGAGGCGAACCCATTTTTTTACCGCTGGGTGGACAGAGCCGGGGAGGAATTCAGAACAACTTGCCACTGTTGTTCCAACTTCCGCGTTGGGAGACAGAATCAGCAACATCTGGATTAGAAGTCCGGCGTGCTGACCATTACACCATGGTAGGAATGAAAAACACCCTTCCTTCATGTACGGGGCACCGTAATGTACGAACCCGTAATCCGACAAACACGGCGGAAAGCGAATAACTTGCCTTGCCAACGAGGGCTGCCTTTCAGAAAATGGGGAAAGCGGACAAAACAAAATGTTTTTTCTTGTCGGCCCAGATGAGGCGCCTGGCTGTCAAGGATACGTCGAGGTTTATTAAGTCAGCCGTGCGCCAATGGAACGACCGAGATTGCGTGCAGGTTGACCGTGACAGCTAACCCGCAGTTGTCGTCAGTGCAGTTTGTTTGAATCGCTACTCTAAGCCTTGCCCAGCACCGTGGCCTTATGCCCGATGAAATCTACAAAATATCACATTTGCAGAAATATCGTACGCACGAGAATAGTTTCACGCGTGGCTTTACATTCGAATTAAAAAGCTGCTGCTGCTGCTGCTGAGCGCTAACACGAGCAGCAAAGAGTCTCCTGGGACGCTCAAGATTTCTTCCCGGCACGTTTTGGCTGCTGGGCTGCAGTGCACACAGCCTATGCAGGCGTCATCATGCGTTCTTCGCCTCCTAGCCGATGAACTGGCATCGGCGGCCAATCACTGGAAGTTGCAACTAATCACGTTACTATGCTATATATTTATTTCTAAGATAATTTTCGAGCCCGTAACAGCCCACGCCCAACAACAACGGCTGTTCGCCACAAAGTGGCGGTGATATCGCCACAGTTTTTGTGCCGGGGCTAGGTGCACCTTGAGGCCACGAGAAGTGTCGTGGGCTCGCCAACACACCCTCCCCCCTCATTATACATTCGTACGTACGAATGTATGATGAAATTTATTTTGCTCCATACGTAGATACGGAAAACTTAAATTTCAACTGAATTCCCACAATCTACAGCGTTGTGTGTGCATGTGACTTGCACATGCATTGGTCATGCATTCCAACTGTATAATGTTTACCTGGCACTCAAAATAACAGCCATTCTGTTGGGGTAAAAAAAATCGATTTGCCCGTATAGCTTGTAATATTAGCAATAATGCATTCATAATAATAATATACATTTCTTTTTTTTTCTTGGTTCTTTCGGTAAAGTCACGTAGAAGGGAAGTAATAAAATAATAAAAATAAAACATAATAAAACAATTCTCACGACGTTTCGGCCACAACGCAAGCAGCCGTCCTCAGGTGAAAACCAGGTCCGTCGAGGCGACAGAGTCTGAATGAAACAGTACACGAGCTTGGAGCATATATATAAGCTGGGCGCATTGACAAAGGAATTTGCAGTTGCTGCTGCAGTTGCTGCAGCAGCAACTGCAGCAGCAGCAGTAACTGCAGCTCCCTTTGATGCTGTTAATCCTGCATAATGCACATGCATATGCAGTACTAATCACATTCCTGCATTTCCCATAAATATGCTAAATTCCTTTTGATATGCAAATTCCTTTGTCAATGCGCCCAGCTTATATATATGCTCCAAGCTCGTGTGCTGTTTCATTCAGACTCTGTCGCCTCGACGGACCTGGTTTTCACCTGAGGACGGCTGCTTGCGTTGTGGCCGAAACGTCGTGAGAATTGTTTTATTATGTTTTATTTTTATTATTTTATTACTTCCCTTCTACGTGACTTTACCGAAAGAACCAAGAAGATGAATCCCTGCAGTCACGAAAGCTTTAAATCGAAAAAATAAATTTCTTTGTCAATCCTCTGCTGGATTGAAGGTCTCCCCATTCACGGAACTTTGGCCACGGGGTCTTTTTTAGCCATACTTCACCACTCTAATCAGTGCAGGATAGTGAATGGGTGCTAAGGACCAGATCAGACATCACTCTGCACAGACATTGGTGGTGGCCGAGATTCAAACGGAGGTCACCGGGTTCATAGCGCAGGGGACCAACCACTGTGCCAGTGTACCATCCGATGGCATATTATTATTATTATTTAACATTTTAAGGCTTTCGTGACTGCAGGGATTCATCTTTTTGGTTCTTTCGATAAAGTCACGTAGAAGGGAAATAATAAAATAATACAAATAAAATATTATAAAATACAATTCTCACGACGTTTCGGCCACAACGCAAACAGGCGTCCTCTAACCCAGCTTAAATATACGCTGCCAAGCTTGGTGGTGTTGGTGGTGTTCATTCAGACGCTGTCTTTCCGACAGCTCTGTTCTTCACCTGAGGATGGCTGCTTGCGTTGTGGCCGAAACGTCATGAGAATTGTATTTTATTATGTTACAATTTTTTTTTCCCTTCTACGTAACTTTACCGAAAGATCCAAGAAGATATTATTTAACAGTTATTTTTATTATAGTATGTAACATAGAAAGATTAAGATAACCTTCGATTTACTCACAATTGTAAAGTTCAATTCTAGACAATTCCATTAAGTTGCAGCCATGGTTTGCCACAGGAATGTGGAAGTTCCACCACTGTCTCAGGGCTGCTGATGTGGTAGATGAGTAGATGACTTCAACCCGACGTTGACCTCAAGTCCACCGGAGGTAGCTATCTTGCGGCTTCCGACGATTTCTGCCGAGACGTCACACGTTTTGTGGCACATGGGGCACGTGGGTAGCTCCTGTCCACAAACAAAGCTGCCTTATTTATGGGCCTGAATAATTCACTGGCATTTTCTCGGCTGCGCAAGCGAAATAGCGGTTTCTTAACAGCAGACAGAATAAACATTTTCTCTGTAATGAATTGACTTCGAGGGGAAGGGGGATGGGGGGGGGATAAATAAATATTTCAGGAGACTAAGAAAACTCCAAGGTACACCGATGCATTACTTGCAGGGTGGAAAGCACCGGGCCCGTTTGTGTTTTTAAGCGACGAACACTTGGGGTGACTTTAGATGCCTCTTTTAAAATTGCGTGTTGAGATACGCTCGCGTATAGATGCCACAAATCCAATTTTCATTATATTGCATTGCGTACATATTCTTTAATGTGCTCCTCCATACGGTACGAACCTCTTTATTAAGGACAATGCATTTTTAGTCGGAGCAGAAGCTCAAGGAAAGCTGAATTGTTACGAAAAGGCTAATTGCCAAAAAAATAAAAAGGTGGCCGAATGGTTGGGGATGCTGAATGACCATGCCAGGGAAAGGGAGCCCAGCATGCTCAGAGGGCCTTGGGATTCGATCCTGGGTTTAAGCCACCTGCGGTGAAACCAGGTTCTCTAGTGAATCGATGGTCTCCGCTCAACATTTATTATTTGACTTGCATTTGCATTTTAACGTGGCCTAGTTCGGCTGTGAGTGCTCAAATATAAATATATATATCGGATGACGAACGTGCAGTGAACCGTTATTGCATGCAACCAATTGACCCTGAAAGTGACAAGCAGATTTGAACCTGGCTAACAATTTGATGGGGAACCCCCACCTGTGCTCGCTCGGCGTTGCAGGCATGGGGCTGCAAGGTGGCTAGGGAATGGCTATCTGTGAAGAAATGTGAGTGTTTTCCCCTTTGCGTGCCATGGACTTTCATGGCATTCTCTCGTTCATCCTAAAGGCCAAACACTTTCACTGACTGGGCAAACGTCCCAATGCAGGACCTTCCTGAACATTAGTCTTGAGCCTCGTTTTGGCCTGCCTGGGTACGTAAATGGCATTATTAGAATTGCGATGCCTATTTAAGCAACGATGACAACTTCTAGGTAAATTTTTGACACGTTGACGTGAAAATCTAACAGCTATGAAAATTCCAAGACGATCTCCGTTGATGTCATGACGCGATTCGAACAATAGCACATTTGGGATAACTCTGGCATGGTCATTATGAGTCCTCTGGTCTACCCATCATCGTCAGTCATGGACATTCCACTGCTGGATGAAGGCCTTCTCAAGCCGCCACCATGTGGCAAGATGAAGCGATGATTTCATCACCCCCATCTCCCCCGTGAACGTCCTCCCTTTCTGGGACGCGCTCTTCACCCGTCTCGGAATGCCGCACGGGGGAGGGGGGGAAAAAACACAAGGACCCTTGATCGTCAACGCAACGTCGGGCGTTGCGTTGACGTGGTCTTGGGTCTCGCGTAAACAGAACGAAAAAGCAACATCAGCGACGCGTGGCGCTTTTCCCCCGCCCGCCCCGTGCAAAGAAAAAATGCCACTCGTTAATGAGACGTGTCTCTGGCGATAAAGGATAAAGGGTGGTTTTTACAGCGGAGGGACACGCGCTCCCACAAGCGGCAGCTGGAACCTCCTCGCTTCATTTGCTCAACAAACTCTGCTCGAATGCTTTGTTCCACCTTAGGAAGGTGCGGGAGAAATGGAGGCAGAAGAAGTTTCCTTTATTTAACTAGCGGATGAAATATGGACCTCTTGAGACACTTTTG